ACCACTATTGTCAATTCTTGATGCCATTGCCTTACTATGCTTAATGACATATACTAAATGAAGTTGTTTTGGCCTCCCACCTTTTTTAGATGACAAAGGGGGAGAAAAGTGTGATGCGTGAAATGCTATGTTGTTTCATATCAAGGGGGAAGATGCCTCTAGTTGTTGGATCAAATGCTTCATGTTATATATCATTATGTTATCATATCTTTTGATAGAAGCATGTTGATAGGGGGAGATTTGTAGAAATCTCTTAAAGAGTAAAATGATCTTAAATGTATGTTTATGTTTAAAATGAGTAATGATATATCAAGCATACTATTTTATGACATTATGTTCATTGAATGCACTTTGATACGGGGAGCATTTTTTAAATGCTGCTCCACTTGCTTATGAACACATCAATGTTTTGTCATCATCAAAAAGGGAGAGATTGTTGACCTTAAGGATTTCATCCAAGGACAATCTAGAGGTTTTGATGATTACAAACCATTAATGGTGTTTAAGGACTAATGTTTACATTGAGTGTTATATAAATTATTCACATTCAAAAAAGAACCTCAATGAAGCTATAGAGATCATTCCAAGTATTCCATTATTTAAGATCACATCAAGGAAAGCAATGGATACAAAGAAGACATGAAGTTGCAAAGAAGCAAATGCAAAGTCCATCCAAAGATAGGTTGGACTACAATGAGCAAGAAAGCAACTCAAATGAAGGAAGAAAGTAAAACTATCTCAAAGTCTAAAGATCATGGATAAAGCTTGAAGAAATGGGTAGATAGGATGGTGAGTGTTTAAGATTAAATGTCAAAGTATTTATAAATACATTTAAAGCTCATATATATAGGACCATGCATATCATGTCATCATTCATATGTTCCTATATATATTAGCAATAGACTATGCACTTCATTCATATATAATTGCACATGAAGGCATCGCCAAAGAGTGAGTTAGTCTAAGCTTGCATAAGCTTTGAAAAAACTCATCACTTGTGCTAGAAATGCTAAAACCATGCGCATCGATCATATAATTCATATTGGTCAAAAATTAAGGCATGAGAAGCCTTCATTACCATGAGTTGGTAACGGACATTAGGACCCCAGAATGTGCGTCATGAAAAATTATGTTTTTGGCTAAGTGTGAAAAATGGATTTTTGAACTAATGATTATTTCGAAATAATTTTTCTCGATAATAACTCTTTATACTTCAAATAGCCTAAACTGATTTTATCATAATTTATGACCAAGTCTACATTGGTCTACATAAGGAATCATTTTTACTAAAACTGTCAGAAATCCAAATTTGTACTAAAACTGAATTTTTACATTTTGATTTAATTGTATTTCAATTTTCTTATATTTTTTTATTGAATCCAAATGGGGGGTACTTCCTTATTTACATTGTAAACTTGTAAATGGACATATAAATATTGTAAAGACATTTACTTAAATGTTTAGAATGCAAATAAGGTATATGCAGATGTCCTGTACAAAAACTGTATCATCTGTTAGCTTAGAACAAAACTCTTGAAGCTGTAGTTTCATTTCAGCAGACCAAAATGTATAGACAAATCATTCTGGACGACCGGTTTAGGCAGTAGCCATGCTAAGATTAAGGTCACAACCGAACGACCAATATTCAATTTTGGACGACCGAAATGAAGCACTTAAATATACCTTAGGTTATTTCGAACGACCGAAATAAAGACCTCAGTCATTTCGGACGACCGATGTAAGTCCAATTTGAATCTGTACGGCTATTTTGCCTCGAACCCCGTGCACAACAGCTATATTTCTGAATTAGCTGTATCAAAACTCTATAAATAGAGCTGGGGACTTCGGGATTAAGTGTTGCTACCATAGAGAAACATCATATAGCATCAAAAGAGCTTTTGTTCTTATATTCATACATCCCATATCATTAGAAAAGTATTGGGCTTCATTGTATTCATATATATACTCTAGAGTGAGCTTAAACTTTGTACTACAAATCTGTGAGAGATTATCTTGTATTGAAAATCTAATATTCAAATCTGTTGCAAAGCTTAAGAAGAGGTGTTCTCTTAGCAAAGAAAGAAGAAGCTAGTTGGCTTCAAATTTGTAAGGGTTAATGTAACCCAAAGGAAGACTAAGGAAAGGTTGTTCCCTTAGCAAGGTGAAGCAATGAATTGCTTCATGGAAAGGTTTGCTCTCCACCCATAAGGAGAAGTCACAGTGGATTGGGAAGTCTTAAAAGGGGCCTTGAGCCGAGAAGTAAGAGTTTCTGAACCTCGCTAAAATCGATGTGTGAATGTTTGCAAATCTCTCTTCCTTTATCTCCTTTACATTTATGCTATTAATTGTTTATGTCTATATATTGATTATTGCATAATTGTTAGAAGGCTTTAGTAAAATTTACAAAACGAAAAATTAGCCATTGTTTGCCATAAACTCTATTCCCCCCCCCCCCCCCCCCCTCCTCTAGAGTCAATACTTGGGCAACAATACTATTGGACTAAGAGGGGGTGAATTGGTCAATTTTAAATCCTTATTCTTCACAGCAAATATCACAGATGACAGTAAATACAATGAACACAAGGTTTACAAGGAAAACCCTCTCAATAGGGAAAAATCTTGGTTCTTGGCCTATGCTAATATAAGCTTCACTAGTTGCATGCAAGTTGTTACACACTCAACTATTTGACACTTTGCACAAACCCTTGTACAAGTTTAAACACTAGTTTTCACAGCCTCTGCACATACACTAGCTCAACACAGTGCTCACAAGCACTCCCCCTGTCCTAAGCACCCTTACATGGACCCTGCAAGCTCTCTTAACTCACCAAATACAATAAGAAGTGTAAATATAAATAATATTCAATCATACACAAAATATAAGAGTGGTTGTGCAGCTCAAAACAACAATATGTAACATCTAGAACACCTTCTACTAAAACTAGGGTTTAAGGGGTAAAAATGAAAATTCGTATCCCCAAAATTCTGAGATCAATCCCACTGCCTTATATCACCATTAAAAATATGCTTTGATGATAAACAAGATAAGTATAGTATGTGAATCACAATACAACTTCAATAAGGCCTTGACAGCTGCTTCAATAATGAATTGGTAAGTCAAAACCAAAGGTGACCAAAGTTCTGTCCAAAAACCAACTTCAACTGTCTTGATTCATCAAAATAAACTTGTTATCATGTGGATCAAACATTGTATAGCAAGATATAATCAATCTATATATGAATCACAAGACTAAACCAGAAAACAACTCAAATCCCAGGTCTGAGATACAAAAATCATTTGCAGCAAAGTAAACCCCAAGAACAAGTGCTCTGCAAATGTAAATAGATAAAGTCTACTTGTATCAACCTTAACTTAGCACCACAGCAACCTTAGGCCTAAAATGAACCTTCAAACCAGCCCTTGCATCAGCAAAACTTAACACCAATGGAATTCATTATGGGCACAGCTACAATGATCAATTCAGTGACATTTTCTATGAAGGTTTCAAGCTTAGATCATTGACAAGGACCTTAGAAATGTTGGTTTATATGAAGCTCTCGAGATATGTTCAGTGCACGTTACAATTAGGGTTTTCAAGAGGTTTATTTCTGCAGAAATGCTATAACAGCATATATATATACTCAAGCTCATTATACAAGTACTACTACAAAAATGATATATACCTGGCACCTATAACCTATCATTGGCCAGAGAATATTTTGACTTGCCAATTCAGTTATTTTGTCCTTTAGGTTAACAGAAATTACAGCTCACACATTCAAGGCTATATTAACATTCTTATCCAAGACTTCGTGATTAAGAAATGCAATGTAGTATGTACACTCTTACTCTAGGACAACAACAACGTGTCACACGCATGAGCTTCAAGTAGAAAGATCAAAATACCCTTGAAACAACAATTTGTCATTCTCAACATATAGATGTTGTTAAGACTGTATAATTCACAATGCAGCTCAATTCACAGTTGTTCAATGCAATGCAACTAGCTGAACAAATGTATAAGTATATAATATAACTGTGAAATGACCATAGTACCCCTGTAGCCAATTTTCATATGTTGAATCTCAATTAAAATAGAGAACTGGCTATGACAAGCTGAATAACTGCAATGTACTATCTTAAATCATTGTGAAATTGTACCACGAGATAGCAAAAGACCATAGTACCCCTGAGAGATGATATAAGTCATATTGCACAGCAATGGTCATGATATAAGCCCTTGGCAACTTGAAACACCTAGTTTTGACATTAAAGAACACAAATAGGTACTAGGACCAACATATACATATATTTATATATTGAGAAAAATAAATAAATAAAAAAACGAGAAAAACAATCTAAATAAGAGTAGTGATAAAAACTGATATCAAAAAAAAAAAAAATGGAAGCCATAAGTTACAAGTGAAAAAAAAAAGGAAAGTAGAAACATTTTTTTAAAATTAAATTTTCTTCAACAACGATCTCAAATTTTCAAAAATTCAATTTTAATTTTTATTATTTTGATTCTACCTTGAGAAAGATATGCTTTGTTATCCACGGGTCCAGTCCTCTCCTTCTAAAGTGAAAGGTAGAGAGGGTTGGGAGTTAATTGCGAGGACAAATGAAACACAATTATCAAAAACAAAATGCAGAAGGTTTTTAGTAAAATTTAACTAACAATTAAATATCAAGAATTGAATGACAAGTGGCCATAGATATAGATAGATTTGCATATTAGAGGCTAGGATGGAAGGTGCAAGTGACAAGAATTGAATGACGTGAAAATGCACCATATCAGTATATCCTTCCATTTATTGCAAGTGACAAGAATTGAATGACAAGTGACCATCCTAGACTTTGTACATTCCTATCCATCCATGTCAACTGTAATATGAGCTTAGTCCCAACAATCAGCGAGAAATTTAAACTTACAAGAGGAATATTTTAGCCGACAAATATTCATAAAAACTTATAAATGTAACAAAAATGATACACAGTATTTGGTTTTCAAAGGCAAAATTTGATGAAGTAGATATCAATTTCAAGTTGATACATCTTTTAACATCTGATGTTTAGAGACCCAAACATCATGGGTGCCCCAAAATAAGATAAGTGCTTGGTGAACATCTCTCCTTAAATGGATTGTATACTTCTAAAAAACAAAAAAGACTACTCAAAATGAACTCAACATACTTCTGGCTGTACATTATTTCCCTCATTATATATTTTAACATGGAAGAGAGGGAGAGAGAGAGAGAGAGAGAGAGAGAGAGAGAAAATAGTGCTCCAAAACTATATCGACTCAGACGTTGATCTTTTATTCTTGCATCGACTGTGACCAAGTTCAATCCTTTATGATAGCTACTTTTGACGATCACACCAGCAAAGAAAATAGATATACTAATTCCGATAGTCCCAACAGAAAAAGGTTGAAACTCAAGTTTCCAGCTTTTCGTCATCCTCTGTTATAACAGATTCTTGCAGGTCTAATCGGCCTGCAGCAGGAAGGAAAACCAATAGAATATCAAGCGCATGCTTCTCAAACTAATAATCAGGATATATGTGTGAGTGACATAGCCTGTAATCAGAAACTGCATCTGGGACCCAAGTGAAGGCCTCCCCGGATGGCATGCCCTATTTGAGACTTACCAAGGCAGGGCTAGTCCAAAAATCTTGGAATTTTGGTATTGAGAGAGAGAAGAAATAATGAACCAGAACGGATCATTCCAACTCAATCACATATATTGATATTAAGATGTTTCGATAACATTTTAAGCCAGAAGTCTGTCAATCAAATTGGAGATATCTATACAATTATACCAAGCCAGCCAACCCTTTTGTGCTTTTTTATCCAATAATGCAACAAAAAATATGTGGATTCATACGGACTGATGTGAAAATAAATTTTGATAATTTTGACTTAATCTGTTGTCGAAAACAACTTCACTGAATCGGTTTTAAACCGTATTATTCCTGAATAACACTACTTTTGGTCAACAAGACTTTTCTCCGAACGTCTAAAGCAATAGCACATAAATACATAAATAAACAAGTTGTGTTTGTAAAAGATTACCATACCTAACAAAGATATTAAAGATGGGGCCCTTGAAGATCCATTTGATTTCATGTCTGTACCTGCATAGCAACCAATAATGCCTTCATTATGTATAGCAGATCCAAAAGTATATGGTAAGAAGTAAGATTATCATATTTCACAACAATGACTTATGTAAGTTTGAAAAAGAAGTCAACTTAATATTTGGAAAGTGCAAGCACAATGTCTGCATTAAGGACACAATACTTGGTTCAGCTGTTTAGAACCCCTTATGGAGACGATTAGCTTCCTCGAAAGGAAGCATGTTATCAATTCATCAAAGATGTCATGGAACCTATACTTGAATCGTCATTATAACCAATGATATTACCTGGCAATTTTTTGGGATGGCTACACAAGTCCTAGCCATTTATACTGCAGGTGGCACCTGAAGCAGTATCTTTTAACGATTTCCCACATTCTCCATCCACATACCATAATGCTTCAATTCCCCAGAAAAACCTCCTGTTGGAGTGCATCCTCAATGCGATATTTGTGGCCTTACAAAAGCTATCGCAACTGACTCCAATTTATTTCCAAGCTCCTTAGATTTCATCACTGGAGATTCTAGTATCCTAGTCATGTAGAAATTGTTCCACCCCCCCCCCCGCGCGGGCCGCGCTTTGAAATTCTAATATTGTACTGCACGCCTAGGACTTCTACTTTCTCCTTTTCCTTTTTAATTCTTTAAGCCTCTGCGAAATTTAGTTTCTTACAAGGGTTTCATGTTAATCTAGATCGTCATTTTTACTTTTAAAGTAAAAAATGGGATTAAATTCAATTGGTTGTAGTTGTAAGAATAAGATATAAAAACAAGGTGTTGCATAAGGAAGTTGTACTTGTAAAAATAAGATATGAAAACAAGATGTTGCAGAAGGAATTAGTATCAATAGAAGTACTCTAAATGCAACCCATTACACACCTGAAGTTCCAACTGATTTTAGGATGTCAGACTTCTTGTAAGTGTATCCCATGAAATTGGTGTCTTTTGATGTTAACATCTGCCACGTCAGACACAGAAACAAATTTTAGACTGTATCATAATATCTTCTTTTTTAAAATAAAAAAAAAACAGCATGCAGAAGAATATAACAAATACATTGAGCTCAAGAAGTTGATGTACGAAGAAAATTTTATGTGAGGAAGTTTCATACGTGATTTTGAAATAGTTTCTGGGACGACATGCACACAATCTCAACTCAAGTCAGCTCAACAAAGCCTCAGAAAAACTCACTTAAAATGAGCTCCCCGTTTCATCACCATAAATTTCTATCTGGACAAAATAGTTTTGTTTGAGACTATATATTTCCCTATAACTTCACACTTCCACTAATGTAATCTTTATCTTCATTGCATGTGGCTAAATCAGTTTTCTTTCGTCATATGGAGGAAAACATATACAAAATTTTAGTGGTGAATACAACCACCTTTATGTTTTCTCTTCTCTCTCTTCTTTCTAAAAAAGGTTTACATCGAGTTCAAATACCTAAAAGGTCATTACCTAGTGCCATTTCTTCCTACAAAGGGTGTGGGAAGGGTAAATTATACGCATACCTCACTTTTGCTATCTCCCGACACAAATTCTGGAACTCATATTCAACCTCACAATATGAGGAAGCTTTGGTCATAGATGTTCAAATATTTGGACAAAAGCTCACTATTTAGCAAAATAACCGTCCTAAGAGGAACAAAAACAAACTACGTAACAGAAGCAAACAAATTATTCACCATTCTTAGAATTTCTATAGATTTCCCAATCATTCAAACCATCATAATTAATAGCATAAAATATAGGGAACATATAGGGAACCCTTTAGCTAGATCAATCCAACTATGGTGCTAATTGCACTTATATAGTTCTGTTCAAAATGATAATAGATTAGAAGTTTGGAACTAAGCCGACAAAACTCAAGAAAGTAAGATAATTATGCACATTGCATTACACGATCAACTCAAATTGAGTTAAAAATTTGACATACAAGATCTATCAAAATATTTCAAGTAGATGAGCAATTCTGAACAACCATTTTTTCACATACTTATATCTAGTTTTAGCCGTAAAATGTCCAAATTGATTGAAGTAATCAAGAACCTGAAGCCATTACCTTTCGCCAAGGACTCACTCTTGCTATCACGGATGGTGGACCTTCCACCTATTAAAGAGCAAAGTTAGCACTACTAAGAAACGTTTACTGTAAGATAAGACGGAAAATTAGGTAGATACCTAATTCAATTGATTTTGTAGAAATAAAAATTTACAATGTAAACATGTAAATCTCAGATTGACTTTCATATCACATTTCACTAACAGCAATCAATATTTAGTAATAAGACAAGTTTCTCTAACTTATATTCAAACTTTTTAGGTGAAATTTTCTTTTTCAACTTGTAATTTATGTTGCATTATCAAACACATTTAATACAAAAAACACTTACAAATTCAGATCAGCTATCAGGGATATCAAATTGCACCTTACTACAAAAAGGGAGGGGTTTACAAAGAAAAAAATTATTATACATTCAGAGAGAATTTATAGGAATTTTCCATGCTGAAGTCCAAAAGTTCATATAAAATTTTGAGTTAAGATGGATTAGTGACAAGGCAACATGTTAAACACATACAATTATGGGACGTTGACACGCAGCACAATCTGGGATCTATTTAAGGGAAATGGCTGAGACCATTACATGGTACACTACTCATACTGTTATACTGGAAACAATACAAGGAAAAGGGAAAGACCTTGAAAGCCAGTGGTCTAGGCACTGAGAGAAATATGATGAATGTAGCAACATATATGTGGCACTGAACAAATCACAATGGTGAAAGAAGTTTTTATGATGCCCTAATATGGGAAACAGCACTGTAGCACACTCCAAGGTTGGGAAAATGATTTTGTAGTATTGAATGAGTTCAGTATTTAATATCATGTGCTTAATCATCCTCAACAATCTTTTTTGAAAGACAATATATATCTAATACAACTATAATAAATGTACTCACATCATCAAACTTTTCAAAATTTTGAGTATCCAAGTCTCCTGTTACGGTAGGTTTGTAGGCAGCTTCCATTTCATAAAGCATGTCCCATTGAATGCATTTAAACCATGGATGTGCCTGACGATCCATTAATGAGTAAAATCAGAACAAAAAGAAGTTAGAGAATAGAATATTTTATAGAATATGCTACTGCCATTATATGGTTGCAAGGCATCTAGCAAGTTAACAAACTGAGAGAAGGAAAACACATGTTAAATGCATACTTAGAAATGGCCTAATTAGGTGATCTCAAATGCACTTTTTTACTGATGTCTAGGATTTAGTTATCTTGAAATCAATTGGGCAAAGTAAAAGGTTCATCCGATATGTGGAGAGAGGAACAAATTCTTTTTCTACAAAAGGTCATTACCTTTATTTCTTCCACTCCTCTAGTCCCCAACCTTGTTCCAACATCACATAACAGATGACAGATCAGATCCTTAGCTTCATCTGATATTTTTGAGTCCTCTGGAAATTTCAAGCAGGTTTTCCAATTGATTATCTGATACAAAAAGCAAACATAATATATCCTGCAGAAATGAAGGATATTCATAAATAACCTAAATTAGGTGGACTTGGGTAAGTAGGGTGTGAATGCATCTCTAAAGTCTAACCATCATATTTATCTAATCCCAAAATCCAATTACACAGGAACACAACTAGATATTCAAATTGTTTGATGATGTTTTAAGGTGTCATTGTGCTTTTATATAACATATATAGTTCAGCAGGTTTACTTCACCCCTTTCTCAAGCTAACATGCAAAAGAGGATCATAATAACCCAATTTCATATACATCTACTTAGTACATCTAAATTTCCAAACATATTTGTTGCCACGTATCTAACAGACTATATGCAGGACACATCTGTTCTATGCAGGATAAATCTGTTCTGTTTCACATGATTCTCATTTTCTCCATTTCTAAAACAGTAAAAAAGTCATCACAACTGCTAAACGACGAGTGTTCAATACCTTACGGCATGTGATCCTTGGGTCATCAGAACAGAAAGGAGGATAGCCAATGAGCATTTCATACATAATTGCCCCAAGTGACCACCAGTCACACTCCATTCCATATCCTTTTTTAAGCAACACTTCAGGTGCCATATAATCAAGAGTTCCAACAGTAGAAAATGCCTGCGGAACATAGAATTACAACAATCACTTGCAATAGGAACTGGAAGAACCCCATGATAAGAAAATGGAACCTAAAAGAAAACTCAGAGATATAATTGCATATTATAATTAAATAAAAAGCAGATTTAAGGAAAGAAAATATAATACCAATGCACGCCGATTACGTTTCCAATTTTGAAATTGTTCCTTCGGCATCAACCAAGAAGCTCTATCACCACTACAATGCCCTTCTTCATCATGATTGGACTCAAGGGTTGTAAATTCATCATCTTCCAATAATAATGTTGAATACCTATTTTCCAAGGGCTTACACAAGCCAAAATCTGAGAGCTTTAAATGGCCGTTTTTGTCCAGTATCAGATTATCAGGTTTTATGTCCCTACAGACAGATAAACTGCAGAGTAAGCTTCTCATTCCATTTGTTCATATGTACATGCCAACATATGTATATGCATACATACATGCACCAAAATTCAGCTGAAACTTGCTTCAGATATACAATTGATGTTTCATCAATGAAGCAGCAATTTTTTTTTATATATCTCATGATCTCCGACTCTATTGCAGATGAGTAAAGAAATGGCGAAATGGTTCCCGAAAACTTCAAATTCAAGTGGGAGAATGGGACAAATAAACAACAGGTGAAAGAACAACATAACAAAAACAATAATCACGACAGTAGAAATCGATTTTACACTGGAAAACATGCAAACATTACTACATCATCATTCACCATCCTGATAGTCACCAGGTGGAAGGAAAAGAAAAGGTAAGGATATGTATGCATGTTTCCGACCCTTGATTATGCTTTTAGTATGCACCTTCAAAATGGTTGAAAGATATGTACTTCTTATTAAAAACAAATAATCACGTTCTAAAAAGCATTGTTTTTAATTGACAATAACAATTGAACCCATAACCCTACATTGTTTTGGATTGATGATAATAATTGAACCCATAGTCTGACCTCTTCCTATTAATGCCATACTAGCAGTTAATCACTTTACTACAAAGGCTTTGGTACATTCTAGGATACATTTTTTGTCTTTGATTCTTCTATAGAGCAAAATAAAAGAACTTGGAGCAACAGATGTCTATTGTAATTTTCATTTTAAGGTTATGTGGTCCTGTGGATAATATTTGCTCTTGTATGAATATCATCAGGAGGTACAGGAACAAACTAGTTGTCTAATTGCTAGTTCTCCTAAGCAATTTGCCTCATCAGACATGAGCCAGGCTGGGATAAGTATAGCACAACTTATAACACAGCTTTGGCCACAAAAGAAAATCTATGAAGTAAATTTAAGATTTGACATCTGGGCTTGGGACAAACCCTACCCAACGCAACAATGCCACACAATGTTGTTATGTGAACAATTCCTAAAATGTTGGTCCTTTAAAATTTGGCATGCCTAGCTGATAGGTTAAGTTCAAGCTTAGTTTTGAACCAGGCTGCCTAGCAAATAGGTTGACAAAAAATTGCCACCACTATTCAAAATTGTAGTTTCAAAGAATAAGAAATATTGACACACCCACCAAATATCCTCTCATGGGAAAAGTGGGGGAGGGGGGGATATATAGAAGATAATTGATGTGAAACATATAACAATATATTGTCCGCAAAACTGTTTTGGTTGCCTCATCCAAAGCAGCTACTTTGACATCTTCTATTCAAAATCAAGGAAAGAACCAAAAAAGTGTTTGCAGTAATGCTCATAGTTATGCATGTATACAGAATACATGTATACAGAATACACCTATGACAAGCATATAAAACCTGCAAAGCATCAAATTGTATTGTTCATTGGTGAGATACCTATGCACATAGTTGTGCTGGTGAATTGAATGAATAGCTAGAATACTTTCTGCTACATAAAATCGTGCAACATCTTCAGAAAGAACCTCCTCTCTCATCAGTAAGGTCATAATGTCGCCACCGGGTAAATACTCCATGATAAGGTATAAGAAATCAGAATCTTGAAAAGAATAGAAGAGTTTCACGATGCACCGACTAGCAACCTCAACTAGCAAATTCCTCTCAGACCGAACATGCTCAACCTAAATGAAGTCAAACAATTAAAACAAATTATGACACAAAATAAAATACAATGTGACTTCTTAACTAAGACCATTATGACTAGATTGTCAGTGCCAATAAATATTATGTAACGGTTTGAGAGGGTTATTTCACACTTCAAAGAAATCTTTTTCTTTTCTAACGAGGTAAAGAATGAAGAATAATGAGGATTTACATATTTAAAATTACTTCATCCATCATAAGAGAATGTAATGATAACTCCTTCCTCATTAAAAACAGTCAACAAGTTCAACTAACAGATGGTAAAAGGTTGCACGATAACACATCCATTCAAAATTTTTGAACAATATATCTAATTTCACGTCATTGTTTTGTTTCGATTACCACAAATTGATAACTTACAGTGAATTGTAACAGAAAAGCACAAATCACAAATATCATTAAAATAGTTCAAATGAAATAAATTGTGCAGGTTACTGAACAAGCATGTTCAACTATCCTAGAGTAGAGTAACCAAGGGCCTTGTGGCCTAGTGGTATCTTCTCTACCTCTCAAAGTGGATGATGAGGGTTCAAGTCCCCAAAGGGACAAAATGGGTGTGCACTCTAGAATAGTTTTTGTTTTCATTCTTGACATTGAAAACAAAAACTATCCCAGAGAACAGTTACATTGAAATGCTATGAGCATGCTAACATCTTTAAAATTGAACTGCTCATTATGGTACCAACACTTTCTGCTTGATAGATAAAAATAATTCACTAAAATTATGCTAATTAATACATTTATTTAAAATAATCAGTAGAAGGCACAGAGATAAACAAATACATCTAGACTGGGAACACATTAACCAGATTGTAATGAGTTTTATTCCCAAAAAAATAAGAGAAATAAATTTAATGGAGTTTCAGTTTTTTGGGTTGTTGTTACCTGTCCACGGCTAAGCATCTCTGATTTCCTCAATTTCTTCATCGCATATATCTCTCCTGTACTTTTGGCACGGCATAGCCTAACCTGCATTAATAAATCAGATCATAAATGAAATCAAGCTACAAAAGATGTAATAATGCACAATCACAAACTTGTGAAGGAAAATGCATGTGAATCAAACATAATAATTACAAGCAGGCATATCAGGCACTATTGCCACAACAGCAGGAAAGTATATACCAGTTTCTCAATATTGTTAACTTTACAAGTTAAAATCAGTTTCTTCAGTGTTCTATCAAGGTGAGTCACCTATGTACAAAGGTGAAAAATAGTATAAAAATAAAAAATGATTGACAATGAATGACGTAATTCATCGCCATAATTCTTATCATTTGTTTATCTTTATACGTATGCTCTTTACAAATTGTAACATTCTATTCGTTAATAAAGTCTAAAGATTTGAATGAAAAATCCATCCTCTCTTCCTCTACATATATATATATATATATATATATACAATAAATTGCATCGTGCATCTTCACCTGATCATCGAGAGAAAGTTTTACAAGAACGGCTAGTCACATTAAACTCTTAACAATAACTCAACTATGCTTCAATAAAATATAGCATTAGCTTTCTCCTCCAATAATCACCTGTACACAGGAAATAACTGGGTAGTTTTCCAACAATCTGATATTGAACTTTGTGTCACAAAGAGGAGAGAGGCAATTTCATATAAATGTATAAACCTTATAAATGGGCTAGATTATCAAAATTCATAAAGAGCAATAAATAATACATTTGAAGGAAAACAAAAAATAAATTACACCACCCATTATCAACCTTCCTACCATTTTTGTAACTTCGTTTCTGGGTGACTCAACCCCAAAAGCATTGAAAAAAAGATCAATGACTTCTAAAACAACAAATTTTCATACCGACCAAACCTCCCAGAAGAAAAATGAAAATTGTATTATCAAATTATTAGTTGGTAGTTACATGGAAACATATGAAAGTGAATGAGACATTGTTTAAGCTACATCAATGAGCTTTAAATGTCAACATGTAAAATTTGCACCAAATTGAAATTGAGTTGCCTAATAAATTTAGTTAAAATTTGAAGAAAATAAGAGAATGGAAACATCATATGTAAAAATATAAACATAAACCAGAAAATTGTGTAAGATGCTCTAAGTCATAAATGGCCATGAACATCAAACAATAAATAAAATAATAATAATAAATTTTAAAAAAAATTCAATAAGCATAAATAGAATTGACTAATAAAATACTTCGTATTACAAAAGTTAATTGAAAAATAAAAAAATAAATAAATAAATAAATTCAATCTCACTCTAAAAATGTTCCCCAAAAGAGAAAATCCAATTCTATATATAAATACCAAGCAAGATATAGCATGTAAGTAATACCTCACCAAATGCACCTTTGCCAATCACAGTCAAAGGCTCAAAGTCATCAATCCCCACTTTGTGCCTCTGCAATCTCATGTACTCCGTCTCTCTGCGCGCCAAATCCCTCATCATCTCCTCTTGTTCCTCACTTGAGACCTGTGCTTCTTGTGCCTGCCTTTGCAACGCTCGACGCCTAAAACCAAAACACAATCAATACACACTTACACATATATACATATATATATATATAGATATAGAGAGAGAAAAAAGAAACCTTTCTTTGCGGTCTTGCAAGCCTTGGAGATAGTTCTTGTAATGATTCTCAATGAACTGCTTGGCCGCCGCGGCTTTCTGTCTGGTGACCGGCGACGAAACAGAGACGTCGGGGTCCAAATTGAAGCAGCGGTCGGGCTTGGTATTGAGAGTCCCCAGCTTCACGGTGCCATCACCGCCGTCCATTTCTAGATTTGGGTATCCAACAAACCCTAATTCAGATCGAGAACTAGGGTTTTAGATACACAGAGTAGATTAAATAGTACTACTACTAGTCGAAGAAGACGAAGATGACATGTGATTGTTTGATTGATGAGTTTTGTTTGAGAGAGATCTCTGAAGGGGTTATATTGAATTGGGAATTACGAGGCAAATTGAAGAAGAAGCTGAGAGAATTGAGTGTTGTTATAGTCCCAATGAGAGATCTAAATGACAATGACTATGAACTGTCATCTACAGAGAGCAAAGCTAGGCTGTATATTGACGATCTGTACTTTTTGTGGGTATAAATAAAATGAAATATATTTTGAGATTCGTTGTCGGGATTTGGCTGAGAGATGGAGTGATACCAACGCCATCGTTTTCATCGCATCAACTGGAACCAGCTTAGAGATGTTTAGAGAGAGAGAGGTGTTTAGAGAGAGAGAGAGAGAGAGGGTTTGGATGACTGTGTCGGCGGAAATCTAACAGTGTTTGAAGTTTCTGAAGAAAAAAATAGGAAAAATAGTTGATTTCACTCTTTTGGGGAATTTTTTTACAGTAACTATTCGAACTAAAAAATATTATCTTCAAAGGACAACGGTTACATGATGATGAGAGAGATTGTGAGGAAATTGATGAATTTTACAACTTTAATTGATGAATTTGATTACTTAAGTTTGGTGAAGTTCTCACCATTGCATGGTGGGCCGAAGCAAAAATGGTGCCTTTTACTCAAGTTGCACCACGTGTACATTTAAATTTGAAAAATTATTACTCCTTCGATCTCGTAGTAATTTTTTTTAGAACATTTCATTAATGTATTATTATCTTTTTAAATTATTAATTTATTCTTTTTAAATTTAAAAAAATTATTATTAATTTGGTAGATTTTTGAAAAACTTAAAGATTAATAATGTAAATATAGTACGGAGTCTTTTCTGGACCATTTGTCCTAGCGTGAGTCAATCACCATTTATTCAATTTTATGTTTATTTGTATGTTCAAAAATCATGTAATAATTCCTGTGTAGAGATTTGTGTCCGATCACAACTCTCATTTAGAGAGAAGACCATCACTACCTTTCAGTAGGGTATGATACTTGACACCATTCCAATACAATACAAAATAAGTTTAGACTTAAGTTTGGGTTAGTCGTGTAATATTAATCTAAACATTAATTAAATGTGTTCGCATTTAACCCATTTATATAATTCAATCAGACATGTTTAATTAAACGTGTTCAGTTTGTATTAGATATGCACCGTTCAAATAAACGTATAGTATCAGTATTTGTGTTAATTTGATCCTTAATAATATAAAATTTTAATTAAACGTATATTATTCTGTGGTGTAAAATTTATTTATGTTAAAAAAATAAAATTAATTAAATAATAGTTATATCGTATTTATTTCAACTTATATAATAAAATACCGGTATCCCCGGACAATAATTATGCACTTGGATTAATGCTCAGCGATAAAATGTGATTTGTCTTGAAAGAAAGAATTATCTTTAAAATTAAAAACACTTCATTGAATAGGGGGTGTCGGCTGAAACACATGTAACCCAAAGTGGGGAATCGGGTAGGAGTGAGTGCAATAAAAACAAAGTGTGAATGGCATTATTACCCATATATGCTCTCCTCCTCCATTAACGGACTCTATCATGCTCGTCCATGCATTTCACGAGTCATGTACAGTCACATTTAATTACCTCAGCAGGTGCTATTATTGCTTACGAGGTTAGGTTCGAGGAATAAGGTTGCCTTCCCGAGTTGGGATCCTCTGCAGGTGACAAATCTCAACTTATATATATATATATATATATGAATTCATCACACTCACACATGTAAAAGCTGGGATTCATCGAATGCAGTATAACGTGTAATGCAAGCATTCACACGCATAATAGTTTAGATCCATCGAATGGAATACAACACGTATGTAGAGGATCTCTATTGTTTTTTAATTCCCTGAAATGAAAAAATTATTAAATAGTTTAAATTCATTTGACACATGACGGACTAGCTAAATCCAAACCGTTGTTGAGATTTTTTTTGTAATAGATTAATATACTCTTGTGAAGCCATTTTCTCAATCAAAGAGTCTGAATTGAATTGATCCACTAAGTACCTATGCCTTGAAATGGAAATGGAAATGCAACAATATGATATCGTTAACTCTGTACTAAGGGCTGCAGTTTAATTGTTCTAATCTTTTTGCTTTTCATGATGGAATGATGACACTTCAAATCTTTCGTAAAGATAAAATGGGTAAGTAAATTTATTGCCAGGGTTTAAAAAAAAAAAAATCATTAAATTGAGAATGCGATTTTTATTTTTATATTTTTGATTTAATAGTATTGCATTTTCCATTTATTCTTATAGCATAGTATTGCAATCTGAATTTAATTATAATGGATAAGATTTGAATTCAAGAGGAGAGGCACATCTCGTTGATCCATTTGCAGTTCCTTAAATGGTTGGCCAAGTCAAAAACCCATCTAGACTGCATCTGTGTATAGTTACAAAAATAATTAAATATATATATATATATAATGTGAATATAAATAAATAACAATGATGATAATAACGATAGCAACAACTAATAATAATAATGAAAGAAAAGTTTGAACCGCTCCTTAAGTTTGAAATTCATACACCGGAGAAGTTTACAATGTTATTGAAAAATGAAAATCTATCCTTAGGATGTTGAGCAGAATAAATTCTTTAGAAATTGTACAGGAAAATAAATGGTAATGGGAGGGATGTGTCATTCTCTTTTCTTTACAAGTTTTATCCGTAAATGAGCGCAAGAGAGGGAGAAGGAAAATGAACTAGTATAAAAGTTATAAATTACAACATTATCCTCAATGAATTACACTAGTTTAAATTTATGTATGTTATGATAAAAATAATTTAAAATTTAATGTTTTCTTCTCTTATAATGAACAATTGCTTTTTCTTTTCTCTTCTATTCAATCGAATAAAAAAATAAAAATATACAATACATCTTTTCTTTTCTTCCTTGTATCTAATTTTTTTCTTTTCGATAGTTAACATATATATATATATATACACACTTGAAAATAAAATATAAAATGAACATCAAATCCCACATGAACATCAAATCCCACCTAAACTCAGCTCCTCAAAATATGCTTTTTGCCGTGAACCTTGGAGTTCAAGTCCTTTTGACCATGCCATGAACATGATGACTATATGGACTTTGAAATTGTTTTCCACTTTTATGGTCTATTATTCTTTTCAATGGTTGAACATGGACTGGGCAATCAATTGACTCATCTTCACATTAGACCACCTAACCCAACTAGTCTTTTCTTTCTTCCTATCTTTCAAGGTCACCTAACTCAACAAGTCCGTTTACAGCTGGATGGGCTGGTTGATGTAATGGCTGATTCAATTTAATTTTTGCTTCTTACACACACACAGACGTCACACATAGATGTGAAATTTTTTTATATAATGCTACCCTAAAATTTTTAATTTCTAAAATTATCTTAATTTTTTCTTCTTTTTTTTTTATTTTTTACTCTTCAAATTCCTTTATTTTCCTTTACAAAATAAAAGTTAAATTTCATTTCTTCAATTAAAAACTATATTTTTTTCTTTCAAAGTTCTCGCAATTTTTTTTTGTTTTTAATTTCTTTCAAAGTTCTCCCATTATTCTTTTTTTTTTTTCTATTCTTAAAATTCCTCTTTTTGCACTTATTTATGATGTATGTAGTATGTAACTTTCCTTTTCTTTTCTTATTCTTTTTATTTCTTTTCATATTATCTAAATTTATTACGGTAATTTATAAAGTCAATGAGTTTACTTTCATGGGTCGCTTTCAAAATACAAAGACCTAAGACCTATAATTGTATTCAACGAAAATATTACCGAATAATATTTTAGTTTTTATATTGATCAAATATTTATCTTTATTATGTTACTCATTGATCAGCTTATTATTTTGCAATGATACTTTCTTTTTCTTTTCTTATTTGGCCCCTGATTTGAACAATTTATATTTGTGATATTATTTGATTTTTTATTTTATTTATTTATTTTTATTATTTTATATTGAGCCCCCTAAATTAAAATTCTAGCCCCGCCCTTGCATGCACCACGTGTTAGTACAGGAACCTAAACCTTAAACATTTTACTTTGAAAGATGAAAAAAATGCATAACATTATATTACAACCTTTTATTTTTTTATACATTAAACAATTGTTTTCTGCTATTACTTTTAAATTATAATATTCGGATAACATTAGAGGTTTTTTTTATTTATTTTGATGGAAAACAAAAACAATACTGTTCAGTTGTGTTTGGTTTGAAACTGTCAAAATTGCTTTTAAGAACATTTTTCAGAGAATCAGAACAAAAAACAATTTTTACTTTTTTCAATTTAAAAAATCACTTGGTTAGGAAAATTACAGAATAGTTTTTAGATAACAAAAACTCAAAAAACTGTTTGGTTATCTAAAAATAGTTTTCTGAACTTAGAAAGGAAAAAAAAAAAAAAAATTGTTGTTGTGTCTCACATTCACACCATTTAATCTTTGTATGCTATGTATGCTATGTGCATACATATATTTTAAATCTTGTGTGACTATATCATTACTATTATATATATATATATATATATATATATATATATATATATATCATCAAATGACAAATGAGTTTTGGTTGTATCTATTAAAATTAATTTTTTGGAACTATGAAAAAAAAAAATTACACCCAATGTATTTATCATCAAATTATTTATTTATTTATTTATTTTAAATATTAATTAAATATTAGTGTAATATTTTTTCCTTTGCCAAGACACTTATACACCTAACGTAAATTTTAATAAGTGTCAAAATAAGAAGAGCTTTTTTATAAAGAATGGGGAGTTTGAGTGCATATTCTAACCATGCTATTACAATATTACACCATAGTCCCCTTGTACAAATACTAATTACTATTTTTTTTTTTTTTTTTCTTTTCATTTACTAACGCTAAATATTACTAACATTTAACTAACTATTAAAATGTTAGTTAAATGTTAGTGTAATATTTTTTTCCTTTGCCAAGACATTCGTACACCTAATGTATATTTTAAAAAGTGTCAAAATAAGAAGAGCTTTTTGATAAAGAATGGGGAATTTGAGTGTATATTCTAACCATACTATTACAATATTACACCATAGTCCACGTGGACAAATACTAATTATTTGGGCTGCAATTTGGATAGGCCCAACCCGAGCCCAGCTCAAATTTGTCTGGGGTTGGGCAATGTTTTTTTTAATTTCGATCTGGGTCTGGGCTAGATAGTTTGAGCCCGAATTCAATTCAGTTCAAACTTGAGTTGATATGCGATGAAGCCCGAAGCTTAACCTGAACCCGAAAATATTATATATATTTGTAATTACACTTAATCACAATCACAAGAGCATGGTAGTCGCATTGGTAGTTTGTTTGGGATTTATCCTGAAAATTTATTGGAAACATTGACTTTAAATCTATTTAAGAGGAAGATGAAAATCTGTTGGTAAATATATGCTTCAAATGACATTTAAGATATAACTAACCTTATGCTAATACGTCATGAGATA